GGCGGTCCCACTAAATTCGGTTTTCGGGACGCATGCTGACGGTCCCACAGGGGGCTTCGGTGGAGCTCCCTGTGGGGCCACGAAGCGGTGTACTTGGTGTGCGAGACACATGCGGACGGTCCCACTGGGGCCGTCGGTCGGGCTTCATATGGGGCCACGAAGCGCTGTACTAGGAGAGTGAAAATGTCAAACTGTGTGTTCTCGGACGCATGCTAGCGGTCCAACTGGTGACTTCGGTGGGGATCCCTATGGGGCCACGCAGCGGTGTACTTGATAAGTGAAAGTGCCACATTTGGTCTTCGGGGCGCATGCGGACGGTGGCACTGGGGCCTTCGGTGGGGCTCCCTATGGGGCCACGAAACGCTGTACTGGATGGGTGCAAAATGCCAACTTGGGTTTTCGGAGCATGCGGGCGATCCCACGGGGTGCTTCGGTGGAGCTTCCCATGGGGCCACGAAACACTGCAGTTGGTGGGTGAACATGCCAAATTCGGTTTTCGGAACGCATACGGACGGTCCCACTGGGGGCTCCGGCGGAGCTCCCTATGGGGCCAAGAAGCGGTGTGTGCTGGGTGTGCGGGGCGCATGCGGACGGTCCCACTGCGGCCTTCGGTGGGGCTCCCAATGGGGCCACGAAGCGCTGTACTGGGAGGGTGAAAATGCTAAATTGGGTTTTCGGGGCGCATGCGGGCAGTCCCACCAGGGACTCCGGTGGAGCTCCCCATGGTGCCACGAAGCGGTGTATTTGGCACTTGAAAATGCCGAATTTGTTTTTCGCGGCACTGGGGCCTTCGGTGGAGCTCCCTATGATTCGACGAAACGCTGGTGGGTGGGTGAAACTGCCAATTTATGTTTTTGGGGCGCATGCGGGCGGCCCCGCAGGGGGCTTCGGTAGGGCTCCCTATGGGTGTGTGCAAATGCCAGATTCGGATTTCGTGACGCATGCGGACGGTCTCACAAGGGGCTACGGTGAAGCTCACAATGGGGCCACGAAGCGCTGTATTGGGTATGCGGGACGCATGCGGACGGTCCCACTGGGGCCGTCTGTGGGGCTCCTCATGGGGCCACGAGGCGCTTTGCGGGGAGGGTGAAAATGACAAATCGGCTTTTCTGGACGCATGCGAAATGTCCCACTGGGGGCTTTGGTGGAGCTCCCTATGGGGCCACGAATCGGTGTGCTTGGTACGTGAAAATGCCAAATTGGGTTTTCGGGGCGCATGCGGGCGGTGGCATTGGAGCCTCCGGTGGAGTTCTCTATGGGGCCACGAAGCGCTCTACTGGGTATGTGAAAATGCGAAATTAGGCTTTCGGGACGCATGCGGGCGGTGCCACTGGGGGCTTCGGTGGAGCTCCCTCTGGGGCAACGAAACGTTGCACTGGGTGGGTGAAAATGTCAAATTCGGTTTTCGGGACGCATGCGGACGGCCCCGCATTGGGGCTTCGGTGGAGCTCCCTGTGGGGCCAAGAAGCTGTGTACTGGGTATACGGGACGCACGCGGACGGTCCCACTGAGGCCGTCGGTGGGGCTTCCTATGGGGCCACAAAGCGCTGTACTGGGAGGGTGAAAATGCCAAGTTGGGTTTTCGGGACGCATGCGAGCGGTCCCACTGGGAACTTTGGTGGAGCCCCCTATGGGGCCACGAAGCGGTGCATTGGTACGTGAAAATGCCAAAATTGGGCTTTCGGGACGCATGCGGACGGTGGCACTGGGGCCTTTGGTGGAGCTCCCTATGAGACCACGAAACGCTGCACTGGGTAGGCGAAAACGCCAAATTCGGTTTTCGGGACGCATGCGGACGGCCCCACAGGGGGCTTCGGTGGAACTCCCTCTGGGGCCACGAAGCGCTGCACTGGGTGAGTGAAAATGCCAAATCTGGTTCTCGGGACGCATGTCGACGGTCCCACAGGTGGCTTCGGTGGAGCTCCCTATGGGGCCACGAAGCGGTGTACTGGTTGTGCGAGACGCACGCGGACGGTCCCACTGGGGCCGTCGGTGGGGCTCCCTATTGGGCCACCAAACGCTGTACTGGGAGGGTGAAAATGCCAAATTAGGTCTTCGGGACGCATGCGAGCGGTCCAACTGGTGACTTCGGTGGAGCTCGCTATCGGGCCACGAAACGGTGTACTTGGTACGTGAAAATACCCAATTGGGTTTTCGAGACGCATGCGGACGGTGGCACTGGGGCCTTCGCTGGGGCTCCCTCTGGGGCCACGAAACGCAGTACCGGGTGGGTGAAAATACCAGATTGGGCTTTCGGGGCGTCTGCGGGCGGTGCCACTGGGGGCTTCGGTGGAGCTCGCTGTGGGGCCACGGAGCGGTGTACTGGGTGTGCGGGGCGCATGCGGACGGTCCCACGAGGGGCCGTCGGTGGGGCTCCCTCTGGGGCCACGGAGCGCTGTACTGGGTGTGCGGGGCGCATGCGGACGGTCCCACTGGGGCCTTCGCGTGCGGACGGTAGCACTGGGGCCATCGGTGGGGCTCCCTATGGGGCCACGAAACGTGCGAGGGGTGTGCTGAAACGGGTGATGATGATGATTGTGATGAAAGAGGGAGGAGGGGGGAGGAGGAGAACGCGGGGACCGGCATTTCAAAACGATGACCCAACACCACAGGACAGTTAGGGAAAAAAGGAATCTCTGGAACTCGCTTAAAACAACAATTTCCTCGGTCTTTGAGCGTTCGAAGCGGGAAAACGAAAGAAGGCGAAAAACGTTGATAAAGACCATCGGAAAGCTCTCGACGCTTTCTTGGGCTGTTTCGGGAGCCTCGTCGGGGCCCTTTGGGGGGCTCTCAAGGGTCTGGGGTGTGTTGGAGGCCTCTGGGGGGTCCTGGAGTCCTCTCGGAGGTCTCTGGAGGCCTCCTGCTCCCGCTCTTGGGCTCATCTTGGGCCCGTTCTGGGGTGGTCTGGAGCTGCCCTGGGCGCCTCTTCGGCAATCTTGGGGCCGTCTTGGCCCGTCTTGGGGCCGTCTTGGGGGCCTCTTGGGCGTTCCTGGTGCGGTCTTGGGGGCCTCTTCGACCGTGTTGGAGCGTTGGAAGCATGAAATGGTGAGAAAGCCAGAAACCATGGGAAAACATGTCAATTCACGATTTTAGGCTCTCCCCGCGCTCTCGGGAGGCCTCTCGGAGCTCTCTTCAGGTCTCTTGGAGGCCTCCTGGGTGCCTGGAGAGCCGCCCGAAAGCTATCCTGGGCTGTTTGGGAGCGTCGTGGGCCTTTCCTTTACGCTCTGGGGGCTTCCTTGGGGTCGTCTTGGGCTGTCCTTGGGCGTGTTGGGGAAAACGTGAGAATGCGAAAATCGTCGACCAAAACCACTGGAAATCAACGATTTGACCCTCGTCGGGCTCTCTCGGGACGGCTCTCGAAACTCTCTTGGGCTGTTTTGGGGGCCTCGTCAGGGCTTCTTCGGGGGCCTCAAGGGTACCGGAGTCCTCTCGGAGGTCTCTGGAGGCCTCCTGCTCCTGCTCTTGGGCTCATCTTGGGCCCGTTCTGGGGTGGTCTTGAGCTGCCCTGGGCGCCTCTTCGGCAATCTTGGGGCCGTCTTGGAGCTGTCGTGGGGTCCTCTTGGGCGGTGTTGGTGCGGTCTTGGGGGCCTCTTCGGCCGTGTTGGAGCGTGGTGAGAAAGCCAAAAACCATGAACAAAAAACAATGAAAATTAACGATTTTAGGTTCTCCCGGCGCTCTCGGGAGGCCTCTCGGAGTTCTCTTCAGGTCTCTTGGAGGCCTCCTGGGTGCCTGGAGAGCCGCCCGAAAGCTATCCTGGGTTGCTTTGGAGCGTCTTGGGCTTTTCTTTACGTTCTGGGGGCTTCTTGGGGTCGTCTTGGGCTGTCTTTGGGCATTTGTGGGGGTTCCCCTGGAGGCCGGGAAGCGGAGTACCGGGAACGTAACCCAAAACTGATCGAGGTGGAGGACGCCCCGGGAGGGATTAGAGTGACTCATATCTTATCATATTATATGAATGACTTTATAATATACTATATCATGATACAATATCGTGTATCCCAATGTATCATAGTATATGGTATTATCTTATGGGGTCGCGTATTGTATTACATTATAGTGCACCATATGATATCATTTTACACTATATTAAAGTACGTCTATTATTATGTATGGTGTGTTGCTATATCATTGCTTATGTGTATTATGATATGAAACACGGTATACTATTGAATTCTATTAGATTACACGATACAACATTAAACTATACATTATCACATCACACTATACTGTATTATGATATGTATGGCGTAACATTTAATAGTGCTAACATATTGTATTATATTGCAGTTTATCATATTATATCACACTATAGGGTAATACTGTTTTCTCAGTATAACACATGACATCACATGTTGCGATATCACATCAAAGTCTAGTATAGGGTAGTATATTGTATTCTAGTATATTATGTGATGCGATCTTATACTATCTTATACTTTGTATATGCTTACGTACCTGGGCGGTCTGGCCGAAAGGCGCCCGCCACCGAGCGCATGGTGTCAGACTTCCGAGCGCGTGCGTCGCCTCTGGGCGGGGGCGACGCGCACACAGCAAAAGCCTGTCCGGATGATGCCGGGGCATGTATGAGGAGGAGTTATGTATAAGGAGATGGAGGAGGAGGAGGAGGAGGAGGAGGAGGAGAAGAGGAGGAAAAGGAAGAGGACGTGGAGGAGGAGGCGGAAGAGGAACTCATACAGTCGTCCCCCCCCTTTCGAAGGGGCCCCAGGCGAGGCCGAGCGAGCCGGGCGAAGGCGGGCGCCCCGCGGGCTGATGCAAGTCCCTGGCGGAACGGGCTCCGAAATTCTGGTCAGAACGCGCCCCAGGAAACGTCCAGGGAATGGCGGTATCGGTGCCTTCTGGTTTCCCCAGAGGCGAGTCTGCTGCGAACCTACCACGGGTCGGAACTCGTGCAGAGGAAGGGCGGGAAAAACACCGGCGTGGAGCACTGCGCACGCGGGAGGAGGCGCGCGCTCGAGCGCCTCCTAGTGGAACGTTTGCCCGCTCATGAGACGGTGCTGTTGTGAACCGCGAGGGGGTCCAACAAGACGATTGGATTACCTGCGGAACCAAGGGCAGGGCGCGTGGATGGAATCGTGGATGCATGCAGGCCTTCCTGCTGTAAGTGTTGACTTCTACATCGTCGCAGGCTTGGACTACATCATTCTGTACTGGCGAATTCCCTGTTCATCGCCCGCTCCCCATATGTAGTTCTTGATTGCAGCGTTCCCCGCCACAGTTGCGGTCATCCTATCTGCCTGCTGCTGACGTTATGAACCTCGTTGGACACACAAATACATGAGGCCGCAGTGGGGGAAAGACGCCCACAAGGTCGAAGTAACGAACAGCCTCACAATGAATTGCGCTCGCCTTTGTGCTCGCTCGTTCGCTCGCTCTCTTTCTGTTCCTCTCTCCGTCTCTCTCTCTTTCTGACTCGTTCTCTTGCCCCCCTCTCTCTCTCTCCTCACCGTCTCACGAACCACATAAATCTAAATACGAATCTACCAGCGTGGACCCCAAGCAGCAGGCTCTGTCAGTCTACGTGGTGCAATCTATGTGATGTAGACTATGTGGTGCAATCAATATGGTGCAACCCACCAATGCTCAACTTGAAATTGTCCACCCTATTGCTCGCGCGAGCATCCCACCCACCCACCCGCAACTTGGTTTGCAAACCCCATGCGGCGGCGATTGCGATGAGTGATTGGCGTTGGCTGGCACTTCGGCGGCCGCGACATCCCTCGCATACACGCGCGCGCGGCGGCAAGCTACTGCAGCCGCGGTGGCGGTGACCGGTGGGCACATCCCAACGGGCACTTCAGTGCGAGTCGGCGACTTGCGCGGGCGCGGTATCATGGCAACGTCGACAACGGTTGACACGGAGATGATAATAACGATGCTGGCAACGATGCTGACAACGACGACCACGGCCAGTGACGGCGCGGATGCTGATCACGCCGGCGACGATGACGGCGCTCTCGCGTCGGCGATGAAGGTTTTGGGAGGTGTTCGACATGCGCGCGCGGCCAACGCGCGAAAATGGCCCGCGTAGTATTGCTTGACACGGATCGCGCCCCCCCCCACCCCCACCACGCGCACAAAGGCGCGCGAATGATGTCGGTAAGGTATGTGACGCGAGAGGCCCGTTTGGCAAAACTCAATGGACATATTGAAAACCCAAAAGAAACGATTCCCTTGAGAATTCGCAAGAGCGCGCTCGCACGCTTTCTGGAAATGGATGCTGCGAAGCCGTGTGCTTTTGAATGCGTGTTGGACCATCACTTTTGAAATCGCTACGGAACCCAAGGTATTTGATGGATTTCACCATGCGCGCGACGAAGCGCGCGTGTGCACATCCTTCCATGCGTTTGCAAAAAGATTCTCGCGATGGCACGCGCGCAAGGGCGTTCGAACGATTTCGGCACGCGCGCGCAAAGCCCATTTGGTGGTCTTTTCTAAAGGTGTTGAAGCATTTGTTGTACAAACAATGATTCGAAAGAACGCGCGCTTCTTCTGGAACGTCAGTGCTTTTTTTATTAAAGATTTTTTTCTCTGTTTTGACAATTGATTTTGACATCCTGCCTGGACCGATCATCTGAAAAAGGATTTCGGCACGGGCGCGCGACGACGCGCGCGTGCGCACTCCATCCCACTTTTGCAAGGGATCCTTGGTAACGAACGGTTTTTGATAAACATGTGCGCGCACTTTGCTTTTGCAGGGGGTGACGGGGGGGGGTCGATGCCGGCTGGGCTGGAGTGGTGCGAACTCACATTTCGGATGGGCGATGGGGCAGAATTGTATGTAAGCTGCAATCCGACAAGGGAAACCGATAATCCACGGGGGGGGTCGAGTCTGTTCTTTTTGAAGAAAATAAAAAACATGTGGTGTGAGCTACGTGGTGTAAGCTGTGTGGTGCAACCTGCGTGGTAGATGCTAAAATGCTCATCCACGTTGTGCAGTCTATGTGGTGCGAGCAACGTGTTGCAAACTACGTGGTGCAACATACGTGGTAGAAACTAAAGTACTCATGTATGTGGCGAGCCCGATGTGGTGCCAACTACGGGATGTAAACTATATGGTGTAACTTGTGCGGCTGGGGCAAAACTACTCGCCTACGTGGTGCAATATATGCGGAGTAAGACATGTGGTGTGAGATACATGATATAGGGTATGTGGTTTACCCTACGTGGTAGGAACTACATGGTGAACCTACGCGGTGCAACATATGTGGTGTTGGCTCTGCGTTACCAACTATGTGGCGCAGTCGACGAACTTCAATATACGCCGCGCGATCTATGTGGCGCGCTCTACGCGATGCAATAGATGCGGTGCGAGCTACGCGGTGCAATTCGGGACTTGGGACACATGCGACGCAACCAACGCGGCGCAGCTAACGCTGTGCAGTCGATGCGTTGCAATGTAAACGGTGCGATCAACGTAGTGCAACCGACGCGGCGCAAACTATTTTTCGTAATCTACGCGATGCAATCCATGCGCGGCATAGACTGCGCTGCATGGAATACAAGAGCAATGATTTGGACCCCTGCTGAAGGGCGGTGGTGGGAGGCGCTGGTTATTTGACGTTCAGTGGCATGCCTGCTCTGCGCACGGCGCTGCCCAAGCACCATCTTGCAGCTCACGCTCACGTTCTGGAGCGCACCCTTGAATAACTCCGAAGCCAGTCGCCCAAGCAGTGAAATACTTCTTCTGCTCTTCGGGCTCGGGCTGGCAACGCAGGCTCTGGAACGCATCGGCATGCAACGCTGCAGTGATCAAGTTGCCTGCGCACCCCTCGCCCAGCCCGCTTTTGCGAGCCAGTGCCAGAACGGATATCATTGTAGCTTGTTCGGGCACTCGGGCGCGCGTCGCTGCCTGCCGCCTGCAGTTGCGTCAGTCGACTGCGCGCGCGTGCTTAACTCGCCCATGATTGACGATGAGAAAGGCATCGACGGCGCAGGGCGACGGAAATGTATCAAATGCGCCGCAACTGTGCAAGTAGGCGTCCCTGATTGCCTTCAGTGCGAACGCGCGCCCGGGATCGCTCGCGGCACAGCCTAATCGGCGCCCAGGATTACTCCCGGCAGCGCCGAATCGAACAAGCCAGGTTTCAATCTGCGTCTTGACCACTTGCGCTGCTTCCTGTAATGTCGTAGGCACGCGCGCGCGCCTTCCACTGCTGTTTGCGCAACAGTGTGGTGCAATGCTGCGCCCTGTAGCAGCGTCATATGTCGCCGCGTGCTGCTGCGCAGCAAGGTCCATTTCTGCTTGCTCCCAAGCGTCGCGCGCCGAGGCAAAGGCCGCGTGCTCTGTAGCAACGTGATGTGGAGTTGTGTGCTGTTGCGCAACAGCACGCTATGTAGCAATGGGTGCCAAACGTTTATGGGGGGAGGCTCCGAGACATCATCGAACATCTCTAGCTGTTGAACGCGTTTCGGGCCAACGCGGGCACGGGAAATGATTCGTGCGCAGCGAGTATACAACATGTATTCGCACAGACAGAAGGCACGAGAGCTAACGTGCTCATCGATGTGGTGTGGACTATGTGGTGTAAGCTATCAAGTAAAACATGTGATTGTTTCGCCCGCAATTTTAGCAAAACCTCCGACGAACATGTGAGTCAGACCGTTCATATGGATAATCTTACATTTTCACATAGGTCGGTAACCTTCCAGCATCGTAAACGTCTGACACCAATTGAAAACATGATTACATGATGTCGTATGAGCTCGCCGGCTTGTACATGGCCCATAGTGCAAACAGGGCCCATATTACTTCGGAGAGGGCTCCAACTGCATGTACCGATCGAGCTGACATGATTTGGTCCAAACTCGAATCAGATGCTCGAGCCCAAATGGCTTGAGCCAAATGGTTACGGAGGGAAGAGCGTTGCTGTTGTTTGGGGGCCGGTTTTGGCGGTCCCCCAAACCGCCTGAGAGCGAGCCTCATTTTCAATGAAAGGCAGCTGGCGCCACGGCGAGAGCGCCAGGGCGCCTGCAAGGGGTCCAACGATAATGATTGTTCAGTGATTCGCAGTCAACAGCAACAACGAACCAAGCAGAATTCTCACCACGAATTCGTTATCCAGCTACGCGCCCAGGGACAATGAATGACCGTTCGGCCCCCTCACTCTGATATAGACATGCACATGTGTAGACATGATACTGATGTATGCCCAAGCATGGATATCTCTCTCTCGCTCTTTTTCGTTTCTCTCTCCCTCTCTCTCTCACTCTCTCCCTGTAAAAATATGTATGAATACGTACTTGCATAAATCTACCCACACACGTATACAGACACATCTACATATATATATATATATATACATATATATATATATATATATATATATATGTAGACACCTCTATGTCTATATCTGTACGGCATGCATGCACGTGCGCGCGTATGCCATGTATGCACAGATTCGCGCGCGCGTGCACGCGCACGCACGCCGCCCGCGTGCGAAACTCGAAGGACCAAGGTGCATGGAGCGAAGCGCCACTGCAGTCTTCTCTCTCTCTCTATATATATGTATATTATTCCCCAAACAATGCTTGCACGTTTAGTTTCTTACGTACTTTGAAACGAAATCGGCCTGCACGACGGTATGGCCGCTATGTGGTCGCCGTCGCCGCCCCGTCGTCGCCTCGTCGCCGCCCGTCTTCTGGGCCTGTCCGTCGGTGTGGCGGCTATTTGGTCGCCGTCGCCGCCCTGGCGCTCTGGACCTACCCGTCGGTCTGGCGACGATGTGTTCGCCGTCGCAGCCCAATCTCCATCTGGGCCGACGTTCATTTGCATTGCTTTATTCCTTTTGCATTGCTTTGTGTTACTGTGCATCGCACTACGGTGACTTGCATTGCGTTATTTGAGTTGCGTTGCACTGTTTTGCATTGATTTGCGTTGCGTTGCTTGTTATGCTTTGCATTGGCTTGCGTGCCTTAAAATACAGTGTTTTGTGTTGCATTGTTTTGCTTTGCTCTGCAGGGCTTCTCACTGCCCGCCATTACTTTGCATCGCTGTGCATTGATGTGCACTGCTTGGCATGACATAGCACCACATAGCC